CGAAAACAACCAATTTTCCGGCAAAGGCATAACTCCTTCCTCATCCTCGACTCCTCAACTACCACCTTACTCTCCCTCCAATTCTGTTGAGGAGGTCTATCAAGCTACCCCTCAACGTGATTCGACTAATTTTCCATGCTCAGGCTCACCTCGAGTCTTCTCTCCGTCAGCCCTCTAGCCTGGTCGCCGACAGACATAGACGCTCTCGACCATGTGCCCCTTAGTCGCCGCTCTCGTCGGATTTTTGGCATGGACAATGCTGCTAACGTGGCCATCGAGGAAGAGGACCATGATGTCGCCCCTCTAAATCCAATGATTTCAGCCAACACCCAGACTCCCAAAACAACCAAAAATAAATCTTCGACCGCGCCAACTTCCTTTAAGACAACCAAAACCAAAACCTCGACCACTCTAACTTCATCCAAAACCCCAAAGATCAATCCTTAACCAGTCATTCCACTGCTCTCCCCAAAACCAATAAATCTCACTCGACCTCTCATTCTGCCAATTGGTTGGACCTTGATAAGGTCGATCAACCCTCATACTAGGCATTCATTAGCCCCAACAACGATAACACCTACAACCATCCTCCTAAAAACTGTTACACTTTTTTTGAGATCCAGTTGAACCTAGGTATTGGCCTTGTTTGGTAATCAGCGGTTAGCTGTTAGCGGATTCTATTAGCTGTTTTGACCAGTGGATTACGTTAGCTTGTTTGACCAGCTGATTGTGTTAACGATTTGTAAAATATTTTTTGGTAAAATTAGTTATTTTTAATTATTTGTGTATATGATTACTTGGAAGTTTATTAATATAATTTAATATTTTATTTATCGAGGATAAATTTATTTTCGTAATACTTAGAAAATAAAAAAAAATGACAAGTAATTGTACATAATTTCTAAAATAACAAATTAGTCAATCAAACATTTTTTTATTAAACGTGACTGTACATAACTTATTAAACATCTTTTAGTGAGATTTTTTTTTTTTCATTCATCTCACTTCATTTCTTTTTTATTTATACAATTGTCTTACTCCACTACATAGAAAACCCCTTAATTAGACCCATTCAGCCAAAAAAAGCCATTCATCTTCCAAAACGCTATGAATTGAAGCGGTTTCAATTTTAGCGTTTTCATGCAATCCGCTAACTTAAAAAGCTATCTAACCAAACACATATTTTAGCGGTTTTAATTTGGTCAAACCGCTAATATTGCTCAAAACGCTAAAAATTGGCCAAAAAGCCATTTACCAAACAAGGCCATTCGCTTTCCTCTCTCCCCTGACCTGCTCGAGATATATGAGACTGGTTCGTTCTCTCTCTCTACCAACTTCCTCCCAACTCGATTCGCTTCCTAACCAACTTCATTATCCTTTCTCAAGTCTGTCTGGGTCGAATCGAGTTGGGAGGAAGTTTGTTCAGATGTAGACCAAACCAGTCGCATATCTTGAGCAAGTCAGGGGAGAGAGGGAAGCGAATACCTAGGTTGAACTGGATCTCAAAAAAGGTGTAACAGTTTTTAGGATGATGGTTGTAGGTGTTATCACTGTTGGGGCTAATGAATGCCCAGTATGAGGGTAGACCGACCTTGTCAAGGTCCAACCAATTGGCAGAGTGAGAGGTCGAGCGAGATTTCTTGATTTAGGGGCGAGCAGTGGAATGACTGGTCGAATGATTGATCTTTGGGGTTTTGGATGAACTTAGAGTTGTCGAGGTTTTGGCTTTCGTTGTCTTGGAGGAAGTTGGCACGATTGAAGATTTATTTTTGGTTGTTTTGGGAGTCTGGGTGTTGGTTGAAATCAGAGGATTTGAAGAGACAACCTCGTGGTCCTCTTCCTTGAGGGTCGCGTCAGCAGCATCGTCCATGCCAAAAAAATCCGATGACAGCAGTGACTAAGGGGCACAAAGTAGAGAGCGTCTATGTCTGTCTCGCCGACCAGGCGAGAGGGCTGACGGAGAGAAGACTCGGGCTGACTGAGCAGGGAAAATTTGTCGAATCACGTTAAGGGGGTAGCTTGATAAACCTCCTCAACAAAATTGGAGAGAAAGTGAGGCAGTAGTTGAGGAGTCGAGGATGACGAAGGAAGAGTCATGTCTTTGCCAGAAAATTTGTTGTTTTCGCTCGAAGTAGCAGAATTTGAAAAAGAAGAACAAAAAAAAAAAGAAGAAGAAGAAAAAGAAAAATGTGGAAGCTTTGTTGCCGATGAGTCAGGCGGAATTTTGAAGGAAAATTGAAGAAGAGAACTAAAAAAATAAAAGCAAAATACAAAAGGCGAAGAACTTGAAAACATACTCACATGGCAAGTGAGAGAAGTCGTCGGAGAAAAAAGTGTGCTTGCCGAGAGAAAGTTAGGGCACAAATAAGTTCGAAATTTGGTGAAGGTGGAAAAGTGTAAGAATTTCTAGTTACAGGTATTTATAGGGCGTGTAGAGGGAAAAGTGAAAGGGCAAACAACATGACCATTGAATTAAAGATAAATCCAACGGCTACGACACACACATTTACCGGGCGCGAAACACGAAGGGGCGCAAATCGTGAGGAGACGCAATGATTGACGTATCTAACAGACGTGACAAGTGGCAGGTTTGAATTTCACAATGGCGGTCGAAAGGAAAAATGGTCGAAAGATAGAAGAACACTCACTAGGTGGTCAATACAAGGTGGAAAGTGCAGCAGTTAAGCGGAGGGACGAAAACCTACTCTTAGATCGAGCCATTCAGACTCGACCTGGGGGGTCTAGATGATATGAGATATTATACCTAAAGGAATAAACCGGTTCAGTCATTCGGTCGAACAAACTAAACGAGCCGAGCTGGTCGAGGAAGAGCCCGTGGATTATGAGGCAACCTAGAGGGGGAGTTAGGGCACGGAGAACATGTCGGTCCCAGACTTATGGAGAGTCTGATCGAAGATCGATCTGCGGTATAACTGGTCGATGGATCGACCACTTCACAGACTAAGAGCAGTCCGAGGATCGACCAAGAAATGGTCGAACACCAGAACCTTTGAGGAGATCTCAAAGGAATCAAACCCCCATGTGCAGAGAACACGTGGCGCCACCTGATTGGTCTCTACTGAATAACCGTCTCTGACACACGCACACTGTGTGTTGTACTGTCGGGCAGGCCAGGCAACTCTTGGGCAGCCAACTCAGCTGTCCGGACAGCATCTAGAAGCAGGTACCTCACCCCTATATATAGGGGTGAGCTTTACGTTTTGAGCACGATTTATCCATTATACTCTTGAGAATTGAGTAAAGCTTATACTGTCTTAAGCATCGGAGGCTCTTCACTGGAAAACTCCTCCGATGTGAGAGTTCTGTGCAGGTACTCGGCGTTCAGTCGGCGAGGCGAAGGTTCAAGCTAGCCTTTTCCAGTCGGTCGAAGGTTTTGACATACCACATAATTTGTTTGTGAACATTCAGATGTCGAGACCAAACTAGTGGCATAAACCCTTCAACTAGTGTCCATGACAGTCCCAATTTGACTCCATTAGCCATGGGTTGCTAAGATGCAATCCATATAAAAACATGCATTTTAAATTGAAAAAAATATATAAATATAGTTAATGCCTTGGTGAAATGTAAAAAACTGCCTAGCTTAAATAAAGAAATTAGTTTTTGATAGTATTAAAATGTCCATGAGTTTCTGATAATCAATTTGATGACATTATTTTTGGAGGTTGCTACAACTAAAATACTATAACAACAAGAGAAGGACCACAATCTTTTACGGGGAATCCGGAGCCAAGATGGTTAGTGATTGGAAAGGATCTCTTATTCAACAATTTTATTACATTTCCACTTTTCCCATTGCATTAAACCAATAACAAATGTATTAATATCACATTACCATTTATCTGTGTTATTCATCAAATCTATTGAATATTGAGTTCAACAAATTCTGTAATAGGAGATCTCATTCCAATGACGAGGTTCTTCTTTACAATTAATTGTTAGAAAATCACTGGGGTTGACCAGTTTTGGTGATTTTTTAACGGCTAAATTTTAATTCATATTGAATTAAGGTGCGTAAAAAAATTTTACATTTTGAGTATTCTTAGTATATTTATTTTTTCAAAATTGATTTTTGAGAATTAATTAAAGTTTTCATTTAATGAGCATTTAAATATTTTTTGAATGATACAAAATGTCAAAATCTCTCTCTAACTCTTAACTGAACACTCTCTTTATTATAATAAAGACTAGAGAAAGTTGAAGATGTCACAACAACTAAAGTTATGCAAGTGTAGATGTTGACTTCAGCCACGGGTGTGCTCGCGCTAGCCCATCGACTGGCTCGGCTCGAGTGCGGGTCTGTTCTTTGGTCCACGCGTGTCGATTTCAAAATCACTGCACGGGTTATGTTTTGAAAATTTATGTGGTGTTTTCGAAAATAAAATTTATCTTTTTAATGCTTGCTTAGATGAATTATATGAGTCGAGTTTAGTCAAATGAATGTTGATATGAGTGTATCCATGTGTGAAATAGTCATTTATTGGAATACTGTAATATATGTAGGTGCTTGACGAGCCGAGCTCGCCGCCTACACGTGTTTTTGTGTTATCTCTTGCTTTCGACCAGGTGGGTTTAATTAAAATGTTATACTGTAAATTATGTTCATGTTCTGTTTGTGGTATGATCAATGTATGCATGTGAACCATGTAGCCTTCGATGTGAGCTGTACCGGCCATCAAACGATTATCCCCGTAGCTATAGAACGTACCCGTTGGGTAATCTCCTTTTAAGGATTTACTCCTACTGCCTTGGGCACCGATAGAAGCCTGAGGGACATTCGGTATTTTACCCGCAGTAGTCTATGCATAGGTGTGCACACGAGTGTTGATTTTATAACGGTATTATTACGATCTTATAACGATATTATGACAGGAGATTGGGATAATAAATTGATTCTTATACATGCTGCGATCATACTGTTTTTTTTATTATTATTATTTTGAATTACTACGATTTCCATTTGTGCTCACTCCCACCTAAAATTAACGTTTCAGGTTAAGCACGGCAGGCACGACGGCGGAGTGGAGCGAGTGGTGGTCGGTCTGTATGACCCGACTAACGATTGGTATGCTTCCGCTATTTGAACAACTTTATGATTTATGAATTTTATGAACTTGGGATATTATTGAATTTATGATTTGAAATTTCATGAATTTATGGATATTATGATGATTGAAATAAGGTTGGGGAGATGCCCCTTTGATAGTAATAATTTTATGGAAGCTTGGTTTGGGTAATTGATGAAATTATGAGATCCCGTTTTGGGAGTTTGATGATTGATAATTTATGAGTTGATATTATGTCATGGAAATGATTTGAAATAAATGAGTAACGTCGCAAATGTTTGAAATGAGTTTTAAAAAATTTAATCTGATTTTTCTGAAAGTTCGGAATTTCTTTAAAATCAAAGTGGGGCGTTACAGAGAACGACAAAACAAAAATGAAAATAAATTACTCTTGAATCAACTAACATATATAAATAAAAGAACTAATGCATTTATAATATACATTATGTCCTTATTTAGCTAGTTATTTAGTGTTTTAGTTTTTCATTAAGGATTCATTTTTCATATATTTTTGTCGAGGTTGTAATATTTTATTTCATTATTAGTATATTAGGACATCATTATGTTATTTTTGAAAAAATATAGGTACGAGAACATAATTGGAAGAAAGAAGGATTAAAAATTCGTAGACTTGAATGTTGCCTATTGGGAGATCGAACACAATCCCATTTTAGTCTTTTCTTTACCGCCATTGAAATTGCAAAACTTGCTTCTGGGGAAAGCAGTCATCTCCTATTCGTGAACAGTACAAAGGTTCCGTCTCATTAAGTTTCCAGCTTTCGACGGCCATCGGTTCGCTCGCGTCGAGGTTGTAATATTTTATTTCATTCTTAGTATATTAGGAAATCATGATGTTATTTTTGAAAAAATACATTAGAAGTTTATTTGTTCTGCATTTTATTTCGTTCATGCAATGATATGTTTAATACAATAATTAATTTACTTAACTAAACTTAATAGGAAAAAATGGCGCATGCATTTGATTAGTATTTCAACCGGACTCATAAAATAGGTTAATACTACCGTCAATCATTGGTAAAACAATAAACTAGGTTGTACCCTGGATGACCATGTAATTAGGACTAAATTGAGTGTTAAAAATTAATATGAATTTCAATATATAAATACAAAAAGGTCCAAATAATCAAATCAAGAAAACTTATTAGTATGAAAATATGTTCAATGATATCTGATGTGTACTTTATCTTTCATTTGAATAAAAAGATACTATATTATAACTTTTGTGAACGTACAATAAATCTTAACTAGTATAGAGCCCGTGCGATGCACGGAGTGCACAATTTTAAAGCTATTTATCCAAACTTATAATTATATACATGAATACAGAAAAATGTACGGGATATATATAGTACGTGACCCGTATATTTATTTGAGGAATATTATATTAGAAGATGCAATATTCAATAAAAATTTTATAATACGCAGGAAAATTATGCAATAAGATAGTATTCGACAAACAAACAATCATATATTAATAAAGACCACCTTGTACACAACATTATGAGTTTGATTTTCCATACAATAATAATAAAATTTTTTGTAAAAAGATAAGAAGGAATTTTCAATCTACACAAACTTTAAACATTAGATGTATTTACATAAATCAATGACTATATAGACATTTAAATCCTTCAATTTAGGTTTGACATCTACTTTATTTATGGGTGACGTAAAATAAGGATTTAATTTTGACCGATTAAATCTTTATTCATAGGCTTGACATATAAAACTCATTTGATGGGATTTTCTTAACTAAATCGATGTTATGGGATAAACCAAATCTATACTTACCTTTGACTTTTCCAACAAAGGTAAAAAAATCGGTTCTGATTTTTATCCCATAACAAATCTTTAATGTCAAGTCTATAAACACCAAAACAAATCTGTAATTAATATCATTATATTTCCAGCAAGCATTAATTACCTTTGACTTTTCTGCCTGCTATTTCTAGTAAATAGGATGACTTTTTATATAAGTATAGATTTCATATAATGCAAAGACTGAGATCATAAAAAAGAATCCTAAAAACTGAAAAAATATATTTGCATAATTTAAGGTCATTAAGAAATCGATCTCTAAACCAGATTTGATTTTCAGAATATGTTTTTTCATTTCGAATTCCATACAAAATGGAATTCATTCCAACCAATAGATGTCATAGCAAATATTAACTCTTAATTATTAGACTATTATTACATACCGAGCAAATTGTGTACTGATTTTAGAAAGTTATAATGATTCATGTTATGTAATTTTACATTTTATGTATGTTGAACTGTGGGTTTTAAATATTGTTTCATAGAATGTAAAAGTGTATATTATTTTTATGAGATGTTGAATTTGAAAATTAATAGAATTATTCTTCATAGGAATTTTAAATGTAACAATATTCTTTGGTATACACTACTAATAAAATCTATATTTAAAGTTTATAACTTTTTTTTACGGAAAAAATTCCTTAATTTAAGGAATCATATATCTTCAATCAGTCCACATATATATACATTCTTCACAGTTTTAAATCTTGAATTTGATGAGAATTCGTATCTATGAGTGCAAAACATGGTTTAACAAATTAATTTATTATTATTATTTCAGTCATACTTCTTTATATGATTTTTTGTGAAAATATAAAAGTAAATTCTTAATTTTAAATCAACCGTACATTAAAGAGTACAAATTTGTTGAAATTACAAAAATAGTGTTTTACTTTTAAACAGACGTAAATTTAATATAGTTATAAAAAATTAATATTTGTTTACCATTTAAATATTAAATCAGCCGTAATTAATGTTGTTTGTTTTAGTTGCCACGATTTTCTCCAAACTAAATTAACAACTACCATGATTTAAGGGCAACATTTAATGCTGCTCTATTTTTAGGAGACATTAAATGTATTTAGCGGGAAAAACTTGCTAAAAGTGTTAAATGATTAATCTTTTAATATAATGATAGATTCATGTAATTTATATTATTAGTTTAAAATACCACTTAATATTGTACCCCAAAAAAAAGAAAACGACTTTTAATAAGGTTTATTGTGCATCCCACCGGCCACGTGGTGTTCTAAGTAAACAAAAAAATAGTCAACAGTACAAACCTGCATCAGTGTCACGTGGCCAAACCTTCCCTTAAATTTCTCCACTACCGAATTCGCCAACGGGGCTCCGCCGCAGAGCACCGCCTCCAACAAATTCAGATCAAATCTCTCCAGCGCCGCCTCAGTCTTCACCATCTCCACCACCGTAGGCGGCGCCGTCGCCAGATGCGTCACCTTGAACTCCTCAACGGCTTCCAGAAGCGTCCCCAGATACGCCCTATCCACCACCACCATGCTCCCGCCGAGAGCCACCTCCCGGAGGCACAGCACGAACCCGTACACGTGGAAGAATGGGACCGCACAAAGGGTTACCGCAGGAGATGGACGGACGGAGCGGACTGCGCGCACGGCGGCTACCGAGGCCACGAGATTCCGGTGAGTGAGCTCAACGCCCTTGACCCTCCCGGTCGTCCCGGACGAGAAGAGGATCGCCGCCGTGTCGCTCTGGAGCACGCCGGCCCTAACCGGACTCTCGGCGGGTCCGGATCTGGGAAGAAGAAGGGAGTCGAAGTCGGGGGAGTCCAGCAGGACTGTCCCCAGGCGTAAGGGAGGCAACTTGGATGCGCAATTCGAGGCGGCAAACGCAATTGCAGGTCTGGTGATGAACATCTGGCGGGAGATCTCAGCGGCGGAGCTAAGGGGATTGGAAGGGCAGACGACGACGCCGAGGGAGAGCAGGGCGAGGTGGAGGATAGGGATGTGGATGGAGTTGGGGGAGAGGATGAAGGCCACGTCGCCTTTGGAGAGGTGGAATCGGCGGCTTAGGTTGGAGGCTAGGGTTCGGAACAACCGAGGGAGGTCAGAGAGAGATATGCGGCGGCGCGTGGGGGCGTGGATGAGGGAGGCGGCGGAGGTATGGGTGTCATGGAGGTTGGATACATAGTCGGGGAAGGAAAAGGGGGTTGTGAGAGGGGGCAAGGAAATGGGTGGGCGGAGGCTGTGGAAAATGCGGGTCTGTGGGTCGAAACCGCTGTTGGGATCGCATTTGGATGGCGTCATGGGTAATGAGTAATGGGTTTGGAGCGGTTGGTGGAGACTTTTTGTTTGGGGATTCTTGGAGGATGATTTATAATTCTCAAGTGCACCTAATAGCATCTTTGTGGCAATAGTTAGCAATAATATTGAGTTCATATCATGTGCTAACATAAATTTATTAAAAAATTTAATAAAAATATGGGATGAAAAATATGAATATTTGATGAAAAAAATATTAGTTACATTCGAGCTTAAAAAATCTAAATTCCTATTATTCTCGTGCAATTGTAGGATTCAATAGAGTTAATTGGTTTAAATTTTATTTGAATGGACGACATAATTTGGATTTATTATATGCTAGTAATTATATGAAGAATCTCATATATGAAATTCTTATTAAATATATGTAGTTCTTATTTAGATAAATACGAAAATGAACAAATCTGTGTACCAATGTGATTAGATAAAAATATTTTGAATTTTCGATTACAAACCTAAATAAAAGTGAGATTATCTTGAAAATTTTCAAAACTAAAATTGTCATTGGTGTACCTAAAAATACCAGATCTCGAAAGCTTCCAAATGATGAAAGCCCAGACATGTTAAACAAGGCCCACTAAGCACATCAGCCCTCTTGCGAATGACCCAAGACCGCATGATTAGGGTTGTCGATCACCCGATCGACCCACCGGTCGCTCTCGGAGTCTTCTAGAGGAAGCTTTGTCGATCACCCACAAGTCTAAAATATGAATTGATAAAACTGATGGCACTGCTCAATTTGTCCCATCAAATTTTGCATGGATACACGCGGCGCCACCCTAGCCCCCTAGCTGACACCTAACATTTAATGCATCATCACCTTCTTCTTATATAAATACCGACTCCCTTCGGGTCCGAAAGGCATGAATCAAGCATCTATCAATCAACGATCACTATTGTATCACTACACCAACATCACATATATTCCTCATAATCTGATCTTTCGAGATCATACACATATACACTTGTAATACTCAACTGTAATCATTATACAAATTTCTTAATAAAATTCCAGAGAAACAATCTCCTTGCCAATCACCACAGTAGATCGGCGATAACGGTGTTTTGCTTTCTTTTTAAGTATATTTATTTTATCTTGACAATACCATTTTGAATGAGATTTTGTTTTAGTCAAGCGTGCGTTTGCAATTTATTTATTTATGCAGACATAGTTCATTCATTTTACATTGTACATAATATGATTTGACGTGTCGAATAGAAAGACTATATTATCGGTGTCTTGTTAAATATAAATATTTATTCACAGCCTAGACGGAATTGAATTAACTATTGAAAATGACTGTAGTATGGTTTTCGAGTTGGTTGATCTTTGACTATACAAATAAAATGTAGTTCTCTAGACACCACATAAAATGTAGTTCTCTAAACGACCCGATTGTTGATTTCTCCTGATTTACTATACACATAAAATGTAGTTCTCTAGACGACCCGGTTATTGATTTCTTTGAATTGAGTCAAATGATAATAATAATAATAATAAAAATAATGATAATAATAATAATGACGGCGACCACGCTCACAATAATTTTAAGTAAAACATAATTAAAAAGAAATACAATTTCACGTCAAGCAGACACATATACATACGTGATTAGAGTTGTATTTCAAGAGCTTGCGAATATTTGTTGTAGGAACAGTTACGCCCAAACCAAAATTTAATTAACGAGTTAGATGTCAAGCATACATTTTATTCAACACCTCTTGATTCACATCACACATTACACCACCATGTTGCAAATAAAGTTGATGAATACGTTGGTAGGGTTGTTTGACATGGTGAACATACCAACCATAAAAGGAAAGTATTAGAGATGAATGCCCTTTAGTCAACAATTTGGACTCCAAAAAGCCTAAACCCTTTGGAGTTGCGGTTGCGATTCGAATCGTCAAACGTCCTAACAAAAGTGTCTCCATCTCCGACCTCCACCTTACGATCTTCATTACCATCATCAAGTCCCGATTTTTTCCACACCACGTCAATGACGAGAAAAGATTGCCCGAATCGCGTGTTACACACGTAAAACGCAATGGTGTCATTTGTCCTCAACCCCTTTTCTCGGACAAATCTATTCCAACCTCTCGTGAACACAAAACTCTGGCTACTCTTCCAATAGCAATACCGGAACTTCCACAAGCTCATCTTCTTGTCGTAAAACTCGAGTTGCACCTCATCCGTGTTTTGAGAATCGGACATGCTCGGAAAATGCATGACCGCGTACCTTTTGGGGATGACAAGCCTATTGAGCTTTCCCACATCGCTCGGAGTTAACTCCTTTTGGAAAAGTAGCGTGCAAGAGAATGGGTCGCGATCAACAATCCGGTTTTGTAATGATTGGTGTTTTGAGAAATCAGCAAACTTAGAAGGGTACGACCCATCTCGGATCATGCCTAAAACGACATCGGTGGTGAAAAGCATTTGGAACTTATTCTCCAATAGAGAGGTAGTATGAGATAAAGGGAAGTTTTTGTGAGAGTCACCACTACGGAGTTTGATGGAAGCGCTATCATAGGCCATGGCAGCATGGACTTCGGATTCGAATGTCCCGAGCCATATGCGTTGATGGTTTGCATATATTTGGGCGCCCCAATGCCCGTTTGGTTGTGGGACGACCCCTTTGAACCTTTCCAATCGAGGGCGTTTTTCGGGGCTAATATTGGAACTCCAAGACTCTTCTTCCTTGGTGTTGGGTTTGTTGGCGTATGATATCATGCTTAACATCTCTTCTCCCATGTTTAAGCCTACCATACACGATAGAGAGACCTAAAAGAAAAAGAACCAAAAATAAATAAATAAAAAACAGTGCTCATCAATAGTCGTCGTTAAATGGAACTTGGGTTAATTCATTTCAATGCATATGATGCTAATTTTTGCCAAGTACACGTGAGAGCCTTTTCTTTTGGGAGAAAATCCAATTGGCGGAAATCAGTTGAATGCCTTACCTAAAAACTTCAGAAACTTGAGATTATAACAATGAAACAAGAATACCACAGAATAATATTGCACAAAATTACACAAAAACTTCAGAAACTTGAACGAGATTATACCAAAAAAAAAACGATCGGCTGAAGAATATTATACAAAGCAAACGTCGTACGATAACGTGGAGCGGAGAAAAAAAAAATAGAATTAAATCAATATATATAAGATAACGAAACTTAAATGTTAATAAATCATACCAGGTGGCTTCAAATCATCATCATCTATACAATATTTGAGGGTGTAAATGATTAAAAACATAGAAATTCAAAAAGAATTATTTCCTTTTTCAATTTCTTGATTTGTGGAGAAAATCTGTCAATCAGGGCTCGTTCTGGAAAAGGGATGTTTCCATTCTCATGGAAATTAGTTAGAATGACGCAGCAAAACCTCTCGACAGGCAGGTTTTAAACTTAAAATCATACTACATAGTCTTAAATAAGACAGTTTCCCAAATAAAAATTCAACTGTTTTCATACTTCTATTGGAGATTATCAACAGATCCATCTGTTTGGTCTTTAGCACATCATCTATCCAAGATTTTAGGTGGTTGCATTTTTACCATTAAATTTCAAATTTAATACCAAATTTAGATAATAGCAAATTCTCAAGTATGAGAATTACGTAAATGTAGGAATATGTAGTAATAACTTGTTTTCTTACTGTAAATCTAATATATCAAATTGCATTTAGTGGATGGACCAATATTACGTCATAATGATCTTTTAACTTGGCTGAGGAAAAAGAAAAACCCGTGTGATTGGATATAAATTCAATCTAAAAATACTAATCAAAACTCAAATTTTAATTCAACCCCATTATACTCAATACTATCATATAATTAAATAATACTAATTAATCATTCTTACCCATTACATCAACTTTATTTCACTATTCATTCAGTTGAATAATTTTATCTAACCATCATTTCATATCACCTCACTCATACTTTTAAATCAAATTACCTTTAATCATTTTATTTTAAATATTATTTTAATAAAAAATAAAATCTCACTACCAACTAACTATGCCACATTTTTTTAAAATTAACTATGGTTAATAAAAAAACCCAAACAAAATCAAATTAAATTCATATCCAAACCCGGACTAAACTCTAGGTCACATGGGGTAAACCAGTAAATAATGATCAAAATTAGATCTAGAGTTAAGGTAAGTTACAACGAAGTATTTTGAATAAAGTTACCGATCAAAATTGGATCTTGAGTTAAGTTGAGTTAAAGTGAATTATTCTGAATAAAGTTGATTGAGCGAAATGAGAGAGATTGCAATTAAATAATGTTTAATATATAATTATTAATGATGATGTGATGCAAAAGTATGAGATAGATGATGAAAGCGACAGATGGTTAAAAATACGTGAGTGAGTCAATAATGAACTAAAGTTGATATGACATAAGAGAGATATGATTGTATTATTTAATTATATTGATATAATTGATGATAGTGTGGTTAAATTAAATTGGCTTAGTTGCAAATAAAACCATGACATTTTCGAAATTTGCAATTATATGCATCACTTTTAAAGTTGACAAATATATAAACCACTTTTACAAATTTTGGCAATTGTATGCACCGGGCCTAATTTCGGGCTTTCCTTGCTGACATGGTTGCTGACGTGGCGATTCTGCTGACATGGCTCCTGACCGTGGCTGACATGGAAATTTTTTTGCTGATGTAGCGGCTGACAAGGCGGCACAACTTTTACAAATTTTGACAATTGTATGCACCGGGCCTAATTTCGGGCTTTCCCTGCTGACGTGGGGATTTTGCTGACATGGCTGCTGACCGTGGCTGACATGGCAATTTTTTTGCTGATGTAGCGGCTGACGAGGCTGCAAAAAATAGAAGCAGAAGTAAGGTTCGAACTCATGACCTCGATGTTAGATTTAATATAAATTAATATATATGGACACTAAATATTAATAAATACAATTAAAATTTTAATGATAATGTAAATTATATTAATAGGATATAAACTTATAATAAAAAAATTATATAATATTAAACAAAAAATAAATTAAAATAAAGTAAGATATATTATTATAGTACAGTGCATTTAAATTAAATTAAATTAAAATAAATTATTATATTTATTATTTATTAAAATAAAATTAATTATATAAATTTGGAAATAAAAATAATATATTATTTATTATATTATCATATATTTTATTATATAAGATAATATAAGATAATATAATATAATATAATATATTTTTTATAAAATAATATAAAATAAGATAATATATTATTTATTAAATTATATTATCTTATATTTATTATATTATAAAAATAATATAATATATTATAATAGATTATAATATTATTATTATAGTATAATAAATAATCATTATCGTATATTTATTATCTTATAAGATAATATAATATAAAATAGTAAAATAAAATTAAGTAAATATTTTATAATCTTATATTAAATAAAATGATAATAAAATAAATATTTTATTATCTTATATTTATTTTATTTTTCCATGTTTTATAATTTATTATCTTATATTTTATTATTTTTACTTAATTTTAACTTGTGTACTTTAATCTTTTTTATTTTTTAATTTAATTTTATCATTATTATTTTTTTATAAAATAATATAATGTAATAAATAATATATTATCTTATTTTATATTATTTTATAAAAAATATATTATATTATATTATATTATCTTATATTATCTTATATAATAAAATATATGATAATATAATAAATAATATATTATTTTTATTTCCAAATTTATATAATTAATTTTATTTTAATAAATAATAAATATAATAATTTATTTTAATTTAAATGCACTGTACTATAATAATCTATCTTATTTTATTTTAATTTATTTTTTATCTAATATTATACAATTTATTTTATTATATTTTTATTATTTTACATCTTATTAATATAATTTACATTATCAATAAAATTTTAATTGTATTTATTAATACTTAGTGTCTATATATATTAATTTCAATTAAATCTATCACATAACTTGGATTGGTGTGGTGATTATGGTGTCATAATGTAACATAGAGGTCATGAGTTCGAACCTTGTCTCTGCTTCTATTTTTTGCCGCGAAAACCAAAAAAAGGCTCCTCAAAATGTTAGTATTCCTCTAGAATATACAGGTTCTCCATGCATCGCTTGTCAGCTCTGACGCCTTCCCTTCTACCCGAACCAGACCCTAAGATGGCAGAGAGACCAGCCGATCCTCATATTACAGCCTCATCAGCCGCTACATAAAAAAAAAATTATCATGTCAGTCACGGTCAGCAGCCATGTCAGCAGAATCGCCACGTCAGCAACCATGTCAGCAGGGAAAGCCCGAAATTAGGCTCTGTGCATACAATTGCCAAAATTTGTAAAGTTGTTGTATATAATTTGCCAACTTTAAAAGTGATGCATATAATTGAAAATTCGAAAAAGTCATGGTTTTATTTGCAATTAAGCCAATTAAATTTGAGTTATATTTTGAGTTAAAGTGAGTAAATCAAATTATGATTGATCAAAAACAGTTTTGATTGCCTTCCAATCACCCCCTAAGTCACCGGTCCAACCACCAGCTCATCAGTCAATTGCTAAATCAAGCAATTGATTTTATAAAATTTTAAATTATATTTATATAATTTCTATCTTATTACTATATATAAAATAATAAAAATAAATTATTTTTATGTAAATCTTATACCCAAGGTCTTAATAATATTGTATTATGTAATAAATATTTATCACATAAATATATATTGGTATGTAAAGACCTTCGACCAGCTGGATTCGAGCTGATCTACCTTCCTCGCCAGTGGATTACCTTCAATACCTTCAAAAACTTGACACTGGAGGGATTTCTCGGCGAAGAGCCTCCGATGCTTAAGTCGGTGATGTGGAGAAGATTTTATGACTCGATTATAAAATTTTAAATTATATTTATATTATTTTTTTGTTATGACTCAATTATAAATTATTGATTTATAATTTTATTTTAAATGCTCATACTTTTATGAAGATTTTAAAGTGTAGTAAATACATATCCTGATCGTAGTATTAGCACAATATTTGACCATCAATGATTAGAATCACCATCATATTAGAATCATATTTACCTACCAACTACTAGAAAATGTCTTTTTAGGCGCGGTTTTCCAGATGCTGACCTGATGGCGGCTATTTAGAAGGGTTGTCGGTCCTTTGGTCTAGGTCTTATTAGCGTGATAGGGGAGTTTCAAGATTTGTGGGTTGGGCGAGGGTTGGTTTTGTCCTTGGGTGGTCACCTTGAGTTTTCGGCTCGAGTGGTGTTGGTTCGGAGTGGCTTCGGTTGGTTGAGAGGACCTTAGTCTAGCTATTAGTCTTTTTTAGTCTTTGTGTTTTTTAGTGTTTGTTGGCATGTAGTGTTTTCACCCATTTATGTGCATTGTGTTATCCTCCTATTTGGAATGTTGTGTTATTCTTTTATTTGGGAATCTTTATTCCATTTGGAAACGTTTAATTTACCACTCGTGGGAGTTAGGTAACTTGTGTTTGTATTTCTAGGCGACATTCGAGTTTATCATCCCACTAGATTCAACTCTATAACTGCTTGAGTCGGTTGTTTGATTGTTTTCTAAAAGTATATATGCATTTTATCTATATATTCGTATCCTTTTCAAAAAATAAATCTCTATATATATAAAAAGGTTTGATATTTTTTAAATAATAACTATTTTCCTCCA